CGGCGCGTGGGGAGGGACTCCTCCGCCCCGTGGGTTTTCTTCGGTGCTGCCTCCGAAAATCCCGCTTTTGGTTTCATAATAATCCCGAAAACAGGCGTGGAAACTGGGTTAATCTTCTTACCCCGAGCAGCGCACGTTCCCCTTCCTCCTGGGGCAAAACTCAACCTCGGTGCTGGCATCCCCGGGGCCATGCCAGTGCCCACTGCTTCTGCCTCTCCTTCCTCACTCATCCTCCTCCTCATCCTCATCTCAGTGCCAGCAGGATGCGTGTGGCATCTCCAGCTGAGCCCAGGGCCTTAAGTGTGTCCTTAAGCCCCCCCGGCTCTAATGGCTCTCGATCCTGTCCGTGCAGGCGTTGTCCCAGCAGGGTGGCCATCGCTTGCCCAGCCCCAACCATGGCATCTGCCACCAGGCAGTGGGTGGCCATCCCATGCCAAAGCCACTGGGGGTGTGTAACCCACTTGCCACCGTGGCCCTGAGGATGCTAAAACCACTGCCCTCCTCTAGCGCTGCTTTTCCTGCTTGCCCGCAGCTGGCAGTGCTGCCCAGGGGGTGCAGGCTGGTGGGGAGCCCTTGACACGCTGGTGAAAACACGTCAAACATCCCCAAAATCTCATCTGGTAGGAGCCAGCGGCTCTCGGGTTCCTGTTCTGCACCGCCTGCCCCCGTCCCGGGGTCTGCGGCGGTTCGAGTGCGGTTCCCTGGCACGTGCATCACTAAGAGACGGTGTGAAATGTGGGGGTTGGAGGAAGAGCGAGTCCCATTGGAGACCCCAAATTTGCAGGATGGGGGCCGAGGGTTTGGGGGGTTCATGGTGGGCTCCCTCGGCGTCCCTCGGTGCCTGCACGTGATGCTGGAGCCTTCCCGGCACGGCCGGTGGTGACGGGCTCCTGGCGCTATTGATCGTGGCTGCAGCGGGTGGAGGATGCGCTGCGGTTCCGGTGCCCGGTGATGCAGCCGCGAGGACGGGGAGGGGGAGATGGCAGCGACATGGGAAGAGCTCAGGGAAGGGCGGTTTGGTTTGCGCATCCCGGCGTTGGCTCCGTGTGCCGGCACCGCGCTGCCGCAGCGGGGGCTCGGCAGAGGATGCTTCGCCGGCACGATGGCCCACGTCCCCTCGGGTCCCCTCCTGCCGCAGCATCCCCGGGTCGCCTGCTCCGGGGGTCCGGGCCCGCGCCGGGGGGTGGCACGGAGCTGGGGGGAATGCGCAGGCGCGTGCACAGGCACCGAGGGGGGGGAAAAAACTTGAAGTCAAATGTCTGAAAGTCAGATCCCTTTTTAGTATGAATTTGCTGTATCTCATTCTGAGCACTAATTCCAATTTAATTGCAAGTGGCCTGAAGCCTCTTCAATAGGAGTAACAAATGGTTTGATTTTGTAAACTTCATCAGACTGCATTTTAAATGCGACACACTAGCCCGGCTCGAATGCCAATGAAGCACTGAAGTAGCTCTCTGTTTACTAATTATCCGTTTTTACTTCAAGCCACGCTGGCTGGCTTGTCTGATTAAATCGGATTTGTGGGATAGAGAACAGCTAGCAGAGTTTTCTCTATAGTAAACGAGATTGAAACTATGGGCCGCCTGGCTGCACACTGTAAATTATATTTCCTTTTAAAGGGGACGTGTCGCCTTTCTCCCGCCGGCGCTCCTCCCGCATCCCAAACGTGGCGACGTGGCTCCTTCCCGACGGGACCCCCGGCCCCGCGTGGGTCGGGTTTTCGTTCCTCCCCCGGCGGAGGCAGCGGGTGGGGGACGGCGCCGCGCTGGACGCTGCGATGCCGGCAGCATCCCTCGCCACGGGCCGGAGCGGGGCGGAAAAGCCCCTGGATGTCGGGCGTCGCATCTTCCTCGTCTCTGCATCCCTGGCGATAGCGCTTCGTCGGGAGCGAGCGCCAGAGATGCGGGGTGTGCGGCTCCAGGATGCTGCCATAGGGCTTCTCCTCCCGCCAGCAGCCATCCGTCCCCAAAAAACCACATTGGGGACTGCTTGCTGTTTAAAACTCCCTCACCCCCGCAGCATCCGAACCCCAACCTGCCCCTGGGCCCCACGGCAGCACCGATTCGCGGTCACGGCCGCCAGCACTAGGTCTGATGGAGATCCCCAAAAGCAGGGACGGGGGGTGAAGGTGCTGGGGAGCACGGAACGGGGCCGCGCTGCCACCTCCCCGGTTGCTAAGACTTTAATTCCGCGAGCTTGACCTGCGCCGCCCCCTCCCTCGGTATCTATCTTTGTGCCCGGGGGGCTTTTTATATTTTAATTTGCTTTTGAACGTCCTGCGAAATTAATGGCGCGCTGGGGGCCATTGTGCGGGGTACAGTAGAGGGAAGGGCCGGCGGCGCCCGCCGAGAGCCGCCGCGTTTCCCGGGGAATGAATTGCTCGCCCGCCTTCACCCCTTTTAATTGTTGACAGTAAAAAGCGTTTAAATGCCGCTTAATTTGTAATCATCTTCCCGCAAAAAGGGGAGAAACCATTAAAACGTCAGGGAAATGAATAAATCCGTCTCTCGGTGGTTTGGGGCGGCGGCGCTGCTTTATCGGGGGTGATTTTTCTTCCGATGGCTGAGGGCTGGCTCGGGGCGGCTGCGGGTGGGAGCCCGGGGATGCGCCTGGGGTGGGAGCCCAGGCACCCTCTCATGAGCTTTCCCGGTTTTTCCCCACATCCCATCCCCTCTCCAAAGACGGGACGTGGCTGCGCGTGCAGCTTAAAGAGATAATACATAAATTCGAGTTCATTGAGCACCCTCAGTGGGACAGTGCCTGGCAGACCCTGCCTGGTGCTGAGGTCCTTGGCGATGCCCAACATTGGTCCCCTGCATCCCGCGGCTGGGCTGGATGCAGGGATGGAGGATGGAGGATGGAAGATGCAGGGATGGAGGATTCAGGATACAGGGATGGAGGATGCAAGGATGGAGGATGCAGGATGCAAGGATGCAGGGATGCAGGGCTATCTTCTGCACCCTCTGCCCCCACGCCGGGCTGGCATCAGCCTTTGCACCCCACGGATGCTCTTGGGGGGCAGCTGCTCCCAGGTGGCTCCACCAGCCACGTCAGGGCATGGCCACCTCCCCATTCACAGGGTTTGTTTATTTACGAATGCATTATCTAAAAAACAAATATAAATACAATTTAAAATTGCCCTCGGCGGGTGCTGGCAGGCAGCACCCCATGGGATGCCCATCTCCCGGGGAGCCCGCTGTGTCCCCGTGGACGGGCCGGTGCGTCCCCTCGTGCAGGAGGCAGCTCGTCCGCATCGCTGCCGGAGCCGGCCCGTTTTTTTTTCAAGCGGGGGCCAATTAGTTTCACAAATGAGGGCCCTACGGTGCCAGGGAGGATTTGTTACGGCCCCGCGCGCCGGCCCGGCGGCATTGTCCTGCCCTCCGCCCCCGCGGGAGCCCATTGTCCCCGGCCCCAGCGGGGGCTGCTGGCGGCAGATTTATCGGGGCCGGCGTCCCGCCGGCCGGGGCCTCCGCTCCGCAGCTGGCCACGGCGCTGGGGGCTCAGCCCCGGGGACCTTTGACCCGTCCTGCTGTCACCGCCGGGGCCGCCGAGGGCCGCGGGGCCGCATACCTCTCGGGATTTGCTTCGCACGGCCCGTTCGGGGCTGCCTGCTTTTTTTTTTTATCATTTTTTTTTATTTTTTGTTTTTTGTCTCGGGAGCGTTTTGTCCGCAGCTGCGTGGGGGGCGCGCGAGCCCATTTCCCCCCCCCAGGATAAATCCCTGCAGAGGGAGAGAGGCAGCTCCCATGCGGGGCCGCTCTCTTGCTGCTTTTATTCCCGGTTCAGTAGGTTTTTTTGCAGATTTTGGAGCGTTTCTGGGCTGTGTGCCTCAGCGGGGCTGGGGCTGAGCATCCCTCGGGGACAGAGCTGGCCGCGGTGGGCCACCACGGCACGGCAGATGGTGGCACGATGCCGGAGCCATAGTGGGATGCCAGGATGGGCGATGGGATTCCGGGATGCCCTCGGGAATGCCCATCACCCGGCAGGTCCCCAGGCGGGGGCCATGGGGCTGCCCAGGAGGATGCTGCCGGCATCTTCCCGTGGCCACATCCCTCGCTGGCACCTTCCTGTCCCCCTGGTGGGACCACGATGCCGACACCGTGGGTGCCCAAGCGCGGTGGCCCCATGGGCTCCCTCCAGTGACTCTGCCTCGTTGCCGCCGCGTCCCCCGGGGTGGGTTTTGGCAGCAGCATCCCCCAGCCCGGCTGTTCCTGATGCAGCGCGGAGCTGCCAGTTACCTCCAGCATCTTGCCGCTGCTAATGAATTGCTAATACAATTTTCTAGATAATTTTATTTCCATAGTCCTCACATTTTAATGTCTCCAAAAAGCTCGCGTTTATTTGCTTAATCTCCCTGCGTAATACAATTTGCACTGACTCACAGGTTCTGAACAATCAGCTGTGCATAAACGAAAACAAATTGTTTAATAACACAGAGGTCTGATATTTTTATTGCTGGTGTGTCGAGATCCGAGCTTGGGGTTTTTTCCCTTTGGCCTTTGCTGCCACCTCGATGCAGCCGGTTTTGTACCCGCGGCTGGTGGGACGGGGCTGAGTGTGTGCACTGGGATGGTGGGCACCATTGGGGGGGGGCGGATGTGTCCCCTGGGGCACCTCTGAGGGGTCTTCCTTGGGGTCCCCTTTCCCCTGGGCATGGAGCTCGGCAGCTCCCCAGGTGTGTGGGGTTGTGGTGATGGCCCCACACCTGCCTCAACTTTGGGCTGGGTCTCCCAGCTGCCTCCAAGGCAATAAAAACCCCCTTTTCCTCCTCCAGCATTCCCTCTGTGGGGCTGGTGGTGGTAGGGCTGGGGTCACACCACCAGGACCCCAGTGATGCCCAGAACCCTGCAGTTCTTGGGGTGTCCCCCCACTGTGGGAGCATCCTCCCCACTGCGGAGCATCCCTGCTGCCGGGTGGGAGCGGGGACCCCCTGAACGCCCAGTGGGATGGGGGTCCCGGGTGCGGGGCGGTCCCTAATGTCTGTGTGTCCCCCCGGGCAGGTACGGACATGGCGGTGTTCTGCCTGCTGTGCGGGAAGCGGTTCCAGACGCAGAGCGCGCTGCAGCAGCACATGGAGGTGCACGCCGGGGTGCGCAGCTACATCTGCAGCGAGTGCAACCGCACCTTCCCCAGCCACACCGCGCTCAAGAGGCACCTCCGCTCACACACAGGTACGGCCACGGCACGGGCGGGACGGGCAGCTTCCCCGGGTACTTAAAAAAAAAAAAGGCAAGGTCTAGAGCCCTCAATATAAGAAGGACATGGACCTGATGGAGAGGGTCCAGAGGAGGGCCACAAGGATGATCAGGGGGATGGAGCACCTCTGCTACGAGGACAGGCTGAGGGAGCTGGGGTTGTTCAGCCTGGAGAAGAGGAGGCTCCGGGGAGACCTAATAGCAGCCTTCCAGTACCTGAAGGGAGCCTCCAGGAAGGCTGGGGAGAGCCTGTTTAGAAAGGCCTGCAGTGACAGGACGAGGGGCAATGGCTTCAAGCTGGAGGGGAACAGATTTAGACTGGAGATGAGGAGAGGGTTCTTCACTGTGAGGGTGGTGGAGCACTGGAACAGGTTGCGTACCTGAAGGGAGCCTACAGGAAGGCTGGGGAGAGCCTGTTTAGAAGGGCCTGCAGTGACAGGACGAGGGGCAATGGCTTCAAGCTGGAGGGGAACAGATTTAGACTGGAGATGAGGAGAGGGTTCTTCACTGTGAGGGTGGTGGAGCACTGGAACAGGTTGCCCAGGGCGGTGGTTGAGGCCCCTTCCCTGGAGATATTCAAGGAGAGGCTCGACGAGGCCCTGGGCAACCTGGTCTAGTTGGGGGTGTCCCTGCTGACTGCGGGGGGGTGGGACTAGATGGCCTTTGGAGGTCCCTTCCGGCCTGGGCAATTCTATGATTCTATGAAAAAGAGAGGTTAAACTGTCTTAAAAGTGTCGAGGCGGCTGTGGTGGAGGTTTTTTGGGCTTGGGAAAAGAAACGGAAGGAAAAAAAAAACAACCAAACACCCAGAAAGAAAAAGCCGCGTGTAATAAGTTGATCCGGTCTAAGGTGACATGTGACCTCCCCAGGGGATGTGCCATCGCACCCCTCTCATCGGCTTACGGGCGGGAGATGCACATAATCAGCCCCTGCCCGGCCCTAATGGGATTAGGGTGACCTGCGTGAGGTGGAGCTGGGGCTTCGGCGCAGCCCCTGGGGCCGGGCGAGGGGAGCGGGGCTTGGGCCGTGTCCTCAGGGCCCCCACGCCGTGTCCTCGGCTCCTCCGACTGCGTCACCCGGCACAGCTCGGGGGGGGACAGGGGAGAGGAAGGGAACTCCTGGCCACCATGAGCACCGTTGCTCGGGTCCGGCCACCAAACCCCCCAGTGCAGGAAAAAGAAGACCCTGGGGGGACGATCGGCGCGATGGGGGGAGCTTTGCAGCCCCACCGAGTGTCACCCCCCGTGCCATGGCTCGTTGCAGGGGCCAGGGGCTCCTCACCCCCTGTTGCCCACAGCGCTGGGGGCTTGTGCATCCCCCTGGGCTTTTACTGCTGGTGGGGAGGAAAGCGGGTGCGGAGGGAGCAGCCCCCTCCTCCAGAGGGACCGCTATGGCTGGGGGGGGACAGGCTGGCAGCACCCCAGGAGGGTGGCTCAGTCAGGGCAGTGGCCAGTGGCCACCAGACCCACACGTGTCCCTGGGCTCGGGGTCCCCGTTGGGGAAGCGGGAATCGCACGCTGCCGATAAGCACGTTAATGCCGAGCGCCGGAGCTATTTATAGCTGGTTAATCCGGTGACCTGGGCTGCGGGTCGGGCCCCGCGCGTCCCCCCCAACCTCTGCCGCCCCAGCAGCTCCTGCCAGTGAGAAAACACGGGGCCAGGGGGGCTTTGGGGGTGTTTGACCCTGCTGCGGGGCTTCATCCTGCACAGATGCGGGATGCTCGTGCTTCTCCGGGGACCAGAGCTCTCCCATTGATGTGGCTTCTCCCAAAATCCCAGCACACGGAAAGGCTGACGGCCCCCGGCTGCAAAATCACTGTCTCTGACTACCAAATCAAAAACCCAGGCCATAATTCGGAATTGGTTCTGCCAACGGGCACCGCCTTGGGATGGGGGGGTTGGGAGCACATCCCGAGCAGCCTCCTCCTCATCCTCCTCCTCCTCCTCCGGTCCCTGGCTGGGGGCTGCGGGAGGGGGTGCGGGGCCGCAGGTCTGGGCTGCGGCACGCGGGGAGAGAGTAAAATATCATTTTAGAGAGGAAGCGAAAGCGCAGGCATGTGAGTATATAACGAGAAGGACAATTTATGCCCAGGCACGAGTGCAGTTTGACACGGGGATAATGAAAAAACGTAGGTCATTGTGGATGACTTAAGCCTTCACAGCTGAAGAAAATGTATGAAATGCGGGGAACATTACACGCTTGGCAGCTCCGCACATCTGCAGCAGGACAAGTGAAATACAGTTGGCCATTCTTTACCATAAACTGTGCTTGTAGGATATGCGGCACAGAGAAATTGTAATTACAGTGACAAGACAAATCAGTAATATTTAAATATTCATGAACAAAGTCTCGGACGATCAATCTATCTTTATTGTCCTTGCCTTCGCGGCTGTAATAAATAAGTAGCTGGAGCCCTCACCTTTCCTTCAAATCATTCTGCCTCCGGTGCCCAACCGGAGTTCATTTATCAGCCGCCCGCTCGGGAGCGCGGGGGACGCCCAGGGCCGCGCCGGCCATTCCGGGCCAAAATTGGGGAATTGGGGACGGGGGACGGGAGGGTGGCGGTGCCCCGCTCTCTGTGCACCCCAGCATCCCCTACGCAGGAATGGGGCCCGGTGCCACGCTGGGGCGGCCGGGACACTGCGTCCCCGGGATGGCGGGTGCCGGGGGTAAATCCAGGCCGGGGAGGGGGGTTTTGTGACAGTGGGAGCTCTGACACCCGCCGCGTGTCCTTGCAGGCGACCACCCCTACGAGTGCGAGTTCTGCGGCAGCTGCTTCCGCGACGAGAGCACGCTGAAGGGCCACAAGCGCATCCACACCGGGGAGAAGCCCTACGAGTGTAACGGCTGCGGCAAGAAGTTCAGCCTCAAGCACCAGCTGGAGACCCACTACCGGGTCCACACAGGTGGGTGCTGCGCGGGGGCTCCACGGGAAATGCTGGCGTGGTCCCCGGTGGGGATGGCGGCACGGTTCCTCCGTGGGAGGTGCTGGCACAGTGTCCCCCGGCTGAGAGTCTGGCATGGTTGTCCTGTGGGAGATGCCACCATAGTTCTCATGGCAGAGATGCCGGCGCGGTGTCCCCTGACAAAGATGCCGGCAGCGTGTCCCCATGGGAGGTGCCGGTGTGGTTCCCCCATGGGAGGTGCCGGTGTGGTTCCCCCGGCAGAGACGCCAGCAGCGCAGACCGGGGCTGCGGCCGGGGATAAGGAATCATTGGCTGCGCCAGCGCGTAACTATTGTAAATAGGGGATCAATAGCCCGATCGGTTTTGCTGTTCATTACTTGGCCATCGGCTGCGCCCGCCGCGGCGGCAGCGTCGATGCCGGGCAGTTAATTATCTCCTGGCAGCCCCCAGCCCCCCCTGACGCCCCCGTCTCCCCGTCTCCCGCAGGCGAGAAGCCCTTCGAGTGCAAGCTGTGCCACCAGCGCTCCCGGGACTACTCGGCCATGATCAAACACCTCCGCACCCACAACGGCGCTTCCCCCTACCAGTGCACCATCTGCCTGGAGTACTGCCCCAGCCTCTCGGCCATGCAGAAGCACATGAAGGGCCACAAGCCGGAGGAGATCCCCACCGACTGGCGGATAGAGAAGACCTATCTCTACCTCTGCTACGTCTGAGGGCGGCGGCGCAGGGCGGCGGGGCCGAGGACCGGGCCAAAAAAAGAAAAAAAAGCCGCCACCAAACCCGCAGCGTCCACCGCCTTGTTTGTTTGTCGGGTCTCCCGGCTCCTCTCGCCGCAGGGAGCCCGCGGGGGGGACGCCCCAGCCCCTTCCCCAGCCCCATCCGCTCCCCCTCCCCGGCTGCCCGCCCGGCTTTCGCCCCTCGCAGCCCCCCGGCCCCTCCATCGCCGCCGGGAAGGACGTGCTTTGGGAAGGATTTGATTTCTGGTTTCCTCCGTCCCCGCGGACGCCCCGCCGAGGACCCCAGCTCAACCTGTGGGGCTCGGCCCCCCTTTTGGGAGGGCGCCCACACTGCGGCGTCGCAGGGTGAGAGCGTCCCCGGGGGCACGAGGAGGGTGTTTGGGGCAGGGACCCGGGTGCCAGCCGGGGTCCGGGGGGGGCACCCGGAGGCTGCCACCCTCCCCCTGACCAAAGACCTCTCTATGCATTGCCCCTTCCTTCCCCGCCGTCCCGGGGGGCGAGGGCGAAGCCCCCCTGCGGGGGATGTGGCCGGTTTGGTGGTGCGTGGGGGATGCGGTGCTGCCAGTGCGTGGCATCGCTCCCAATTTGGGGGATCCTCCGTGTTCTGCTGATTTGGGGCGCCCGGAGGGTGCCGAGGGTGGTGTTTTGCCCAGCCCCCGCTGCAGGAGCCCGCGAGCCGGGGGGGCCCGGGGGCAGGCGGCTTTGCTCGCCGCTTTGGTTTTGTTTTTTTTTTTTTGCTTTTTGTTCGGTTTTTTTGAACTTTTCTTTTGGAATATTTCCGCGTTTAGCACATTTTACTTGAAATTACCTCGTTTTTTTGTGACCTCATGAGCTTTTATTGATTTGGGGGGGACGGGGGGGTGATGTGGCCGGGCAGGCGCGTGCCCGGCGCTGGCGGTGGAGGGGCGGCATCGTCCCTGCTGCCCCCCCCTCGTTGTGCATTATCCTTACCAAAACTGGTGTTTTTTGCCCGGCCCCGCGGGGCCGGGGGGGCCGGTTCTGAAGCTACCTCTTGTGTTCGTTTTTGTTGTGTTTCTCCTTTGCGGCCGCGGCAGCGAGCTCTGCGCTTTCCATCCCACCCGGCGCTCGCAGCCTGGGGTGGTTTTTTTGGTCATTTTGCTGCGTTTGGGTGAAAAGGCGGGGGGGGGAAGAGTCCAGGGGGAGTGGGACGGTGTTGGGGTGCGGTTTGGAGGGTGTTGGGGGGTGCCAGTCCCCCCTCTCCCGAGCAGGGATGCGGGTGCAGCGTCCTCCCTCCCTCGTGCCCTGCGTCGGCTTTGCACGCGCGTGTGCCCCTGCCCGCGGGGCCGAGGCCGCTGTTGTACAATCCGGGATGTGACTGTGGAGAACGGCTTTGTTTAATTGTTGTGCCTAAGGAAAAAAAAAAAAAAACCCACAAAAAAAAGAGAGATAAAAAAGGAGAAAAAAAAAAAAACTATTAAAGAGACCCAGTTGTTTCACACGGAAAGTTGCTGCAATTTCTGGGGCGTGTGGCCGCTGCCGGCCGCGGGGCCGTGGGGGCACGGCTGGGCTCCTGTGGCTTTTTTTTTTTGCTTTAACCTCCCGTCCCGTCCCATCCCGCTGTCCCCATCCCTCCCTCCGTGCCCCTGTGGGCTGCGCTGCCCTCGGGACGGGTGTCGGAGCGATGCCACGGCGCCCCGGGCACCCCTCCCCGCAGGGGTTCGCCCCCGCCGCCCCCCATATATATATAAGTATATATATGTGTATGATAGCAGTGAGGACCAAGCGCCCCGCGGGGCCCCACGGCCCCGGGCTCCCTCCCCCCTGCCTTGTGTCGGTGTCGTGAGCGCCCGTCCCCCCGCTCTGTGTTGCCGCTCGTGGTTCGGGTCCCTCGCTGCCCTCCGTCCGTCTACCTCAGCACCCCCTGAGCCCGGGCGCGGGGGGTGCCCCACTCCCCCCCCTCGGTTTTCTCAGAGTATCTATCGCCTCCTATTTTTTGTACGACTTTCTCCCCCCCCCCCCCCCTCCCCCCCCCCCCCCCCTCCCCAGCCCCTCCTCGCCCTTCGCTCCCTTGCGGTTCTGCTTGCGAGTCCTCTCTGTCCCCCCTGGCCACAGATGCCGTTAGCTAAAAGGTTCCTGAAAAATAAAGAAAAAGGAAAAAAAAAAAAAAAAAAAAACTTTAAAAAAAAAAAAAACCCAACCCAACCCAGTTGGGGGGTCTCCTAGTTGCAGCTCTCCGCATCTGCCTTCGTCCTGTGTAGATTCAGATGCATTTCTTTGTAAGACTTCAGTGTTTCTGACAGAGGAAAAAAAAAAAAAAAAACCACAAAAAAAAAAACAAAAAAAAAAAAAGACAAAAAAAAGAAGAAGAAGAATATACTGCTGCAGGTTTTTTTCTCTCCATGTGTCACTAAGTGAAGTTCGTGCCTTCTATAGCAAAGAGAATATTTTTTACATCCTACTAACGGTAGATTTTTTTGTAGTGAACATTTTTTGTATTTTTATTTATAAGTCTCATAAGGAAAATAGCAATGTTCAGTTGTATACCTTGAATCTGCAGTTAGAAAACAAAAATACAACCAATAAAGTTAATTCCGTTGTCTCGGCCTGCCGTCTTCTGTTCCTGTGCCGTGCCTGCGGGGAGGAGGAGGAGGAGGAGGAAGGCTGCATCCCACTGGTTCGGGGCGAGCCATAGGGGGACCCGCGGTGGTGAGTTTGGGGGCACCTCCTTGGTGTTTTGGGGTGGGGGTCCCATTCCTAAACCCACCCTGGTGGGCGTGGGGTGCTCTGGGGGTGCGGGGTGTCCCCATGATGGGGGCTGAACCCGCGTCCCTCGTCCCGGGCCACGCGCTGCCTGCGCCGCTCGCTGGGGAGCGGAGCGAGTTTGCCTCAATGAAAGTGAAGCCGTTCATTTAAACCTGCCTGCGGAGTAGTCTGGCCCCCCGCCGCGCTAATTATCCTGTAGTTCCCGACTGATTGCTGTACACTAAGCTTAAGCCCTCCTTTATTTATTTACTGACTACATTACCGGCAGCGCCTGCGCTCCTTTTGTGCTGCGGAGGACTCTACGGCGGGGCCTGGCGGGTGCTGCCGGCGTCACCCGGCTGTGCCCGCGCCCCACGGGGGCTGCCCCCCACCCCAGGGTCACCCCGGCACAGGTGAACCTTCCTCACGGCACAGTCGGAGTCACTGGGTGCGAAGCATCCCTTATTTTTTTCCCCAGGGATGGGTGGCACGTGCTGGGCCACCACGTGCGCTGGCGTTGAGGCCATCGTGCCCCACGGATTCCCGGTGGGTTTGGGGGGCTCTGAGCCCACCCCGAGTCCCGGTGAGGGTCTCTGCCCCCCAGAGCTGTCCCCAGCAGGGCTCCTCCAGGGGGACAGAGCCTTGGTCCTGGCACAGGCAGGCAGAAGTGGTCCGGTGGTGAGCAACCTGCCAGCCCAGCGTCCCGGAAGAAGGGGGGCGAAGCCCCTCGTGGCGTTTGGCCCCCACAAAGGGGTTATTATCGTAACGGGGAAATTGTGGTAGGACCGGGCCTTTGTCTGCGCGCTCACGCAGCAGCTGGGAGCGATTATTCCGCAACAATGTTCTGTTCCATCAACATTATGTCCTCATTAAACCTTTATTAGTAGATTAGATTCAGATTTATTGATATTTTTTTTTTATTTTTTTTTTTAAAGAGGAAAAATCCAGGCTCCTCTCGGAGAGATGCCTGGAACTTTTTTCCCCTGCATGCAGCGCTTCCCAAAGCAGCGAGAGGGCAAAGGGAGAACCTGGATCCTTCCTGCGGCGTGGGCAGCCTCCTCCTCCAGGGGGGACAGGACCGTGGAGCTGGACGAGGGGGTTAGGTCAGGCACGGGACGGGCAAGGATGGAGGACCGAGCGCCCGCGCCGTGGTCCGTGGGGTGTGGAGCATCCAGGTGAGCATCTGGTGGTGGGTCCCCGAGGGGCGTCCCGGGGGGATGGTGAGGCTGGCTCGGGGGTCCTGATCCCTGTCACACACCGGGGCTGGGCAGCACCATGTGCCCGGGTCAATGGGCCCATCGGATTTGTCTGTTGGAGCGTTTGATGTTACACGAAGGCGGCTCATTCCAGAGGGTGTTAATTGCCCGCTGCAGTGATCAGGTCTGTAGCACCATCGATCTCGGCAGGATCAATGGGCTGATTTAGTGTCTCGCGAACTCTTTAACTGGACACCTCATCAATAGGCAGCCACTTACAGACCATCAGCGCATTAGCGCGGGCCGGCGCTGGCAGGAGCCCCCTCCGCCCGTCCCCAGCCCCCCTGTCACTCAGCGGGGAGTTTTCCTGCAGGTGACGGCTCCGGGACAGGGAGCAGGGCCCTTGGTCCGAGGCCAGTGGGCTTGGGGCAGATGTAGGAGAGCTGGACGCCACCCACCCACCTCACCCCCACTGCCCGCAGCCCGAGTGTGTGCCGAGACCCTCCTGGAGCAGGGATGGGCCCTCCATCATCTCCAGCACTTCCGAGGATGGTGCTTGCGCTGGTTGCTTAGGTATGGTACTGGTGTGAGGGTCTTGGGCAAGCACAGCGGTGCTGGGAACCACCCCAAAAACACCATCGGTGTCTTTTGTCATCACCCCCTGGCACTCCCAGCTCTGAAATGAGGTGGGTACTGTGTTGGGCAACTCTTCTGGCTGTTTGGGCTCAACTCCCTTCTCTGGGATGCAGCCAGCAGTTCTTTCCGCTCCCCTTCAGTGGCAACCTTGGGCCTGGTGGGGGTGGCGAGAGGCAGCAGAGGGGGGATCAACTAGAGCTGTAGCAGCGATGGGTGACCCCGGGGGTCTCTGCCAGCCCCGCGCACCCCTGCTTGCACATGGGTTCCTTTGCAGTTGGCTGGTTCTGTCCCGGTTCCTGTAGGGCTGGGGAGGAGTGCGGGGCCGAAGGGGTCGGGGTGGGGGGAATTAAGGGGACCGGCGAGCAGGGGAGGGATGGAGAAGGGTCCACGGGCGTGTGGTCCCCGGGGGTCCCAGCTGGGGAAATGGGGCTCCCCACGGGCGGGGCGGGCGCTGTCCGCGGTGCTGAAGCGGCGGCGGGGCGGGGGGAGCGGGCGCGGGCCGGGCCGTCGGTGGTCCCTCCTCAGCCCCCCCTGCTCGGGGGCTGCCGCTCCGGGGGGGCGGGGGGAAGGTGGTGGGTGTCCCGGCCTGGGCCAGCAAACACCGGCTGGTCGCAGGGCCGAGGAGCGGCCTCTGAGCACGGCGGCGCCCGAGGCCCCCACCTCTCCAGTGCCCGAGGCCCCCACCTTGCCGGCACCCAAGGGTGGGCGCCCCTCAGGCGTCCCGCCAGACGGACCAGAGGGTGCCCAGCGTGATGGTGTAGGCCAGGACGGCCACCAGGTAGGCCCGGAAGAGCAGGACGTCCAACACGTAGCCCACTTGCAGCCACTCGCGGGCCACGTCGCGAAACTCCTCACGTTTCTCCAGGAACTGGCGGATGGCGGTGATCTCCCGCAGGACACCGGGCAGCAGCGGGGACCCCTCTGCCCCAGAGGCTGCTGCGGGACCCGCGCCCCCCGCCATCTCACACTCCCGGGGGTCCTCACAGCTGTACTGGTTCAGCTTGGCTGCAAGAGAGAGGCAAGTGTGAAAAACCTCTTTAGACAGGGAGTCGGGATTTCTGCAGGTGACCTGGGCCACCAGATCACCAGGCAAATGGGGGCTGTATGGACACAGATGGCGATGTGGGGCCTGCTCCCTTCGGTTCCTGTGGGACCTCTCTGCAGCCCTTACCTGTGCTGTCATTCTCTGTCTGCCTGGAGATGTCTGAGCTCTGTGTCCTGCTTTGGCTAAATGTGTCCCTGTCCCGGATGCAGAGCAGGACAGTGGCTCGTTCCAGCAGCAGGCGCTTCACCCACTCGGGGACGTGGGGCTGCAGATCTTGCCTGTGCACCAGGCGCACGATCAGGATGGTCTCCGTCAGGCTGATGACGAGCAGCGCCATGCACACCACGAAGTAGATGCCTGCGGAGATGTCAGTGAGGTGAGTGTCCTGCTCAGAGCACGGTCCTGAGCGAGTCCTCCCTGCCCCCCTTTCTGGGGGACCTCTGGTCTCCTGCTGCTCCAGGCCCAGCACCACCACAGCGGTGGGCTTGGCAGGTAGCACCACCCTACCTATCAAGGGGGTGCCGACTGCCGTAGCTGGCAGCGTGTCGGATACGATGATGAGGAAAACCGAGTAGCCCAGCAGGAGGGTGATCTTGAAAGAGACCCTCTCGCCACTGTTGGGAGGGAGGTAGAAGCCCACGATGTCCATAACCATCAGGAAGATGCTGGGGAGCAGCAGGCTGACGGTGTAGAACAGGGGGCGTCTCCGGATGACTACCTGTGGGAGAGGGAGACAGGAAAGGCTCTGTGAGGGGTTGAAAGGAGGGCTTGGGCTAGTGTGGCTCTCCGGCACGGCAGGTGAGGGTGGTGGGATGCACTAAGGTGAGGCGGAGGAGGAGGGGTCAGCACTGGGAGCCGGGCAGGAGCACCGTGGAAGGGAGAAGCTGGGTGATGGAGCAACAGGGCCTTTCTCTAGTGTCCCATTGCCAAGCTCGGTGGCCAAAGAACCTTACGTAGAACTTCATCTCGGCGTAGCTGTCGCTGCTCTTGACGCTGAACTCCTGGAAGCTGCTGAGGACGTAGAGCAGCTCCCACTCGCCCTGGTTCATGAAGACGCTCCGGTCGAACTTGACCAGCTCCGGCTGCCGCCACAGCGAGAGATTGATGTCGCGGACTGGGGGACAGAGGGGAGGTGAGGAGCGGGGGTGTCGGTCCCGGAGCCGCGGGGCCGGGAGCCCGCCCTCCCCGCACGCATCCCCGATCCGCTGGGGCCACCTAGAGGGACCAGCCGCCTTCTGCACCGCGCCCCGGCCCCGCGGAGGCCCTGCCCGTCCCCCCGAGCCCCCCCGGCCACGGGGGTCCCGGCACTCACTGTGGTGCAGCCAGCTGGTGAAGGTGAGCGAGCAGTTCTGGACGTCGAAGGGGAAGTTGTAGATGTCCAGGCTGCAGGCTGTCATCACCTGGATGGGCTTGAGGTTCTGCACCTCCCCGTGGTGGCTAACGTAGACATAGGGGACGTGGGGGGACTTTCCGACATCCACGCTGGGGGGCACAAGGGGCAGAGATGTGGGCTGGGGACCCCCTTTGGTGGCGGCTCCTCCTGCCGAGCAGTGTTTGGGAGGGCAATCGCCCAGGAGCCAGGGGTTCACTCCCTGAGCTGCTTTTTTGGCAGTGCCCATTGGGCCTGGCTGCCCTCTCCCAGCCCCAGCAGCGTTCGTGTCCTTGCCCCAGGGGCTCTCCGGAGCCTGTTGGGAACACTTTAAATCCCCATGGAGCGGGACGGACGCCGGCCGGCTGTGCGGGAAGGGCCGGCAGCTCTGCAGCTGCCCTGGCATTGTGCTGCCTTCACAAAGCCTTTCTCCAGCTCCCTGCATCCCACCCCCGGCACGGCGCGGGTAATTACGGAGGGCTGCGGTTCGCCAGCATTGGAAATGGACCAACTGCCGAGCCGTTCCCCATCTGCAGCTCGCCCGGTGCGGGGAGGCTGCCAGCTCTGTGCCGGGAATACAAAGCACGGGGCGGCGCGTGCCCGCGGTGGGCGAGGGGGGCCCGCGGGTCCTGTCGCACTCACAACTCATTGATGAGGATGTCGGGCACCCAGATGCTCTCCACGGGGAGGGAGATCTGCGTCAGGTTGTCAAACCGCGCCGGGTCCCAGCGGAGGAACTCGTCCGTCCAGTGCTGGGGGGACAAGGGAGAGGGGGCTTGGAGGGCAAGGTCCCTCCCACTGCACCACGCGAGCACCCTGCCGTGGAGACCAGCCCTCGGTGCCACCCTTGGGAGCGAGGAAAGGCTCGTCCTGCAGCTCTCACACCACCCAGCGGTGCAAAGCCCGGAGCAGGAGAGCTGCACCTTGACTTTCATGCCCTACGGAGCTCTGTCCGTCCCCTGGGATGGGCTCGGTCTTGCTGCAATCCCACAGGAAAACCTGTCTTGGCATGGGTGCTCAGCCCCAGTGAGGGCATGCAGTCCCATCTGCTCACCTGTCTGTACCAGATGTAGGTGGTCAGCACCTGGTTCTTCTCATCCTGCAGGAAGAAGAGGACATGGTGTCGGCACAGGGGGTTATTGGCCTCTGGAAGACGGGCAGAGCACACCAGGAGGCGGTGGCCATCAGGTACCCTCCCCCTTGCTGTGGACAAGCTGCCCCCCACCTCAGGCAGGGAGCGAGGACTCACCACGCTGAGGATGGCGTAGACCATGAGGTCGATGGCCACGTTGGTGGTGGTTCTCCAGTCCCGCACGGGCCGGGTGTCCTTCTGGTAGTGAACCAGCAGGGAGTGGGACAGGCGACGCAAGGCGGGCTCTGGTGTCTGGCCCCCACGCCAGGAACCTGCCAGCAGAGGGATGGGATGGGATGGGATGGGGAGATGGGTGGGAATGATGGATGGGATGGATGGAGGGATGGAGGGATGGAGGGCTGCTCGCACCAAGGCAGTGTCTGCAGTCACCCCGGGGGTGCTGTGAGCCGTGGGACGCTGCTCGCTTACCAGTTGGGGTTTCCCACCAAAGCTAAACCAGAGCATCCCGATGGGAAACAAGCTGCCAGGCAGAGCCATCACCTGATCTTTCATTCACATCCTCTGCTGTGCAGGTGACGGGGCTGTGACCTTCCCCCAGCCCTGGAGGACAGGGCTGCCATCTCCTGCCTCTCCCGGACAGCGGGGGACCACAGGGGACTCCCCACCCCCAGGTAAGTTCCTGCTGCTTGCTCCTTCAATGGAGGTGCAGGTGGAGGCTGGAGAGGAACCGGGGTGCCACCTTCATTTCTGGGCACTGGTTGCCTGTGGACACAACCCCTCGTCCGGCGCCGGCAGCGTTAATTGAGGAGCGCGTTTCTCCTGGCCCCCGAGCCCTCGCTGCCCGCGCTCCTGCTCTGCAGCCCAGCCCCGGAGCCCCATTCCCACCTAATGAAAGGGACTAATTGGAATAGATCTGCGGGATCTTGGGAAAAGCTGCCGAGAAGGGAACTTTAATCGGTCTTTTAAGCTTAAAAAAAAAAAAAAAAAAAGGAAAACCCAGCATCCTCAGCCCCTCCGAGCCTGCCCGCGGTCGGTAATGCTGGGGAGCCAGCCGGGCGCACGGCCCTCGCCCACGGAGGCAGCGAGGGGGGGTGAGAGGCAGCAATTAGGGTGAGGGGAGGAAAACAGGCGCTGCCGGCATCGCACTGCGGCCCAGCGGCCTTCGCTGTGGCAGCTGGTGGCAGCTGGCTCACTCCTGTGCTCTTCCTCACACCCTCTCCTCTTCCTCCTCACACCTTCTGCTCCTCCTCCTCACACCCTCACTGCTCCAGGTTGGGGTGCTGGGGCTTTGCAGAGGGAGGACGGGGCTGCCCCATCAGCTCCATGCACTTGCCACAGCCACCAAACCCACGCCGGCAGCTCGCCTGGCACACACGGGCACAGCCCTGGCACACGGGCGTGCGTCTGCACGGACCCTCCCACCCCCCTACCTCCAGCACCCTGAGGACAAGGGCAGCATCACGCCCGCGTTGTGGGAGAAGGGGTTGGAGTTGGGAAGGACGCCCCGAGGAGAGGGGCTGGATCTGCCCAGAGACCCCAGTTACAGACCCGCTGAGAGAGCTCCCAGCTGCGCTGGTGTGAAACAGCACGGCAAATTTTCTCCCATTTCCCAGGAAGCTTAAACGGGAGAAAACAATGCCAATGGCTCGTGGAGGCTTTGGCAGTGGGTTTGCGCCATGCGGCGCTGGGATGAGAAACCACGGGCACCGCATCGCTCCTGCGCGCTGCCGGCCCCGCTCTGCACTGTGAGGGGCCAAACCCTCTACTAGAGAAACCCCTTTATGGGGTGGGGGGCTCAGGCAGTGGATTCCAGAGGGATCCAGGCAGGACATCACCCTGTTTCTCTCTGTCCTCAGGGCTGGGACCATTTCCAGAGCCGCTGGAAGCCCCGTGTGGATGAGCCTGTGACACCGAGGCAGGTTTCAAACACCCTGTGACCTTGCTGGGGGTGTTCAGCTGGAGCCCATCCTCGGGCTTTCTCCCAGGTACGTTGATTTTCAGTAGCATTTAAGGTCTTTCTACAAAGCAGCGCTTCCATTCCCCACCTTTTCAGAAGGATGCAGCACCGTGCCTGTGGCACCGGGGCACCCTGCCCCCCCAGCAGCCCCCCAGCCCTGCCCACGGGCCCCTCTCCTTACCTTGTCTCTGCGGCGCCCAGGCGAGGGGCAGCAGGGCCAGCAGAGCCCCCAGGGCGATGGGCACCATGGCTCTGCCGGCTCCTGGCCACCGCTCCGCCGAGGAGTGAGCCCCGGCAGGGAGGCAGCAGCTCTCCTGGCTCGCCTTCCCCCGCCGCCCGTCCCTCGGGGTTTTGAGAACGCCCAATTAATCTTGCCATCAGCCTCTGCCTCTGCATCAAGTTTCAGGCTGGGAGGATGCGAGAGGAGCCCCCCAGCCAACCCCCAGCCCACCATCCCCCCCGGGGCTGCCCCGGACCAGGCGCCTGAGGTGGAAAAGCGGGGTTTGGGGGTGTGAGCATCGTGCCTGTGTGCAGCAGGAGAGGGGGGCACGGTGGGGGGAGAGGATGCTGCGGGTGCCAGGAGCTCCTTGGTGGGGGGAGCCCCCTGAGATGGGGTGGGCTGTCCTGGGATGTGACAGTCCCAGTGCAGGGTGGTTTTCCATCAGCAGGAGTGGGGGGCAACAGGGGTACCGGGCTTCCCTTCCCAACCTGTGGCGGGGGGGTCAGTCCCAACGGAGATGGACACGCTGCCCCCAGCACCCCAAGCTTTTCTGAGCCTCTCCAGCCTGCACCAGGAGCAGGGGCTGTTTCCATTGCAGCCCTTAGTGTTTGCACCCAAATTTCAGCAGATAAAGGCACCACTAGATGTGGTGTTGGGGGATATGGTGTAGGGGAGAACTTTAGAATAGGGTGGATGGCTGGACCCGATGATCCCGAGGGTCTCTTCCAGCCTAGATAATTCTGTGATTCTGTGATTCTCACCCCTTTCTGTCCCCCCCAATACTCAGTGCCCTTGGGCAAAGGTTGATCTGGTACAATTGAGAGCAAAAGTGTGCCCAGTGCCAGCAGGGCAGCGTCCCCCCCTCCGTCAGAGCGTGGTGTCCTTGGGGCAGCGTCCCCCTGCCCAGTGGGGACCCTCACACACACCCCCTCCCCTATAATCTCATAGATTCATGTACAAATCTCTGCATTTCTCTCGTAGGTGCCCATGGCCCTGGGAAGCTGCTGGGGAGGCAGTGGGCAGAGACCGGCGCCGGCGGCGCAGAGCAAATCGCATCAGATGGCAGCGTGGAGTCACTTAAACGAGATAAGAATTAGTGCGCGGCCCTGATGAACTCCCCCTCGGCTGCCGGCAGCGGTGGCGGGGAGAGAGACGGAGCAGAGACGGGGATAATTTGATTTCTCGGCTCCGCTAGTGGCTGGCGAGTCACCTCCCGGGGCACGCAGGCAGCTCCCAGCTCTTTCCCCTTATTGGATCCGGGTAATGGGAGTCACGGGCAGCACCGGGGACCCTGCCCCGCTTCCCCCCCATTCCCCCCCAGCCACGGGGGCCGGTACTGCTCCGGCCGAGACGCTGTTGCAGCATCGTTAGCTCTGGGTCTTCTCCCTTGGGTTCTACATCTTCGTCTTAAAGAGATTTTAATGTAGTTCCTCTCAGCCCTCCTGTTATCGGATATCTAATTAGCATGATCTATTATAGCCTCCTGTTACGCGCCCGCGCGGGGGGCTCTTGCGGGACGCCTTGTGGGGCAGCTGATATCAATCGGCAGCGCCCGGATCAGATTTACTTCCCCAAATGGCGTAATGGGATTTTATTAGCCCCATGATCTGCTGTGCGGTAATTGCTTTGCTGGGAATGGAAGCGCCTGGCATCGGGGGGCTTCCTGGGCCTCAGCCCCGTGTCCTGCCCCGGGCTCTGCCGTGGCAGCAGCAGTGTCTCTGCGCTGGGATGGGGAGATGGAGACCTTCCCCGAGGCCAGGAGCAGCCCTGGGGGAGCCACATGTCCCCTCGTGCCGGGGTCATCGCAGGCAGCGACGCCCAGCCCCAGTTTGTGCGTGTCCTGGTAGCTCCTGGAGCAATTTTTCCAGCTTTTCATCTTGACTGAGGGCTTTTTCCTTGGGCAGCTGCGCTGGGAGCGGGAACTTGGGCTGGGTGCGTGTGGTGAACTTCAGCTGGTGCTCAGCCAGGGGCAACGGTGCTCTCAGAGGCTGGGGAGGGTGCAGGAGCATGGGCATGAGGTCCCTGTGATGTGATGTGGTGAGTGATGCTCAGTGTCCCCCCACCCGTGATGGCAGGAGCGATGCTCAGCGTCCCCCTCAAATGTGGGGACCAGGGATGCTCAGCGTCCCCCATGGCCCCAACCTGCCCCTAAGAGAAGGTGACTGACCCCCGTGCGGTTGTCTTTCTCGGGGACATGCTGGGGGCTGCGGGGGCTTTGCAGGACGGGGAGTGGGGAGGGAGGTCTCAGCTGTGCCGGGTGCCCATGGGGAGCCGTCAGGGGAGGGGGGCGGCCGGGACTCGTCGTTCCCCGCGCGTCGGGAGCGTCAGAAGCAATCAAGCATCGCGCGGGAGCCCTGGCAGCGCGGCTGCCGGCCCCATCAGGCGCCCGAGGCCGCCCATTACGGAGCCTCGCGCTGCCCCGAATTGCATGTCTGCTGTGATTTAACGCTGCAAGACATGCAGTAAACACCGTGCCGGCGGGGCCGCCGGTGCTGGCAGCAGCCCCCCAGGCTGGCAGGGTGTGGGACCCTCGGTGGGGACAGCAGAGTGAGCCACCCTCCTGCGGGCAGTGGTCCGCGGGGATGCTCAGGGTCACTGCATCCCTGGGTGGTGCGAGGGTCTGGCCCTCAGGGTCCCTGGGGCCAAGGGGGGGGGTCTCCATGACCGAAGGAGGGACCAGAGTGGGTGCCTGATGCTGCACCCTCGTCTCATATCATTGCTGCCATGGGTCAGTGTGGGTCCTGGTGGCTTCACAGGTTACCGAGCCCACCCGAATCCCCCCAGCAAAACAGCATCCTGACGCTTTTAAATCCCCTGGTGGAGGGAAGGGAGTGCTTTCCTCACAGCCCCCTCCTCCGTTTGACACCCTTCAGGTGTCAGCCATGTTCTGCTGCGCTCCCTTGGCCATTAAAGCCAGGAGTTAATGAGCAGAGGGAGGGCTCTGCAGCCCGGTGCTGTTAGTGGAGGAGGCGCAGATCGTCCCAAGTGGCTCCAGCAGCTGCACATCGTAGGCACCTTCCCACCTGGGGCCAGGCAGAGTCACCTTCCTGGGAGCAGACCCAGCCAGGGTTTATTCCTGTAAGTCCCTCTTTTTCCTTTTTCTCTGTATTTCTCAAAGGAGGGGGGGTGGGTTCCAGCGTCAAGCTCCGTCTCAGCAGAGACCACGTCCCAGAGGCAGGTTTGTGGCAGGGACCGCGCACCCCCCAGCTGCCTTTCCATAAAACTCTGGAGCTGCCTTCCTCCCTGTCCTCCCCGGCCCTTCTGCCTCCGTGCTGGGTTTTAAGGAGCATTTCCAATCAGAAACCACAGCCCTTCCCCACCTGGGTTTTAATAAAACCACGCTGGCCGTCACAGTGGGGTATTTTTCCCTTCATTTTCCAAAGAAAATGAGAAAGATTTCAAGCAAATTGGAAAGGTTAATTTGGGCTGAGAAGGCCGTTAGTTTTTGATGTGAAGCACCTGGAGGAGTCTTGCAGGGAAGCCGCCTCCTTCTTGTTTCTGTTGGAGCCCAAAGCGCAGCTGGGGGGGCACAGCCAGGTCCCATCCTGAAGTCCAAGTCCTAGTCCCAAGACCTAGTGAGTCCAGGGATGCTTTGGAAAATGAACCCATCCTGGTTCCATGAGGGAAACATGGACGGGGAGGGGTGTGTGTGTGTGTGCTCTGCGGGTGGTGGGGCAAGAGGCTGGTCCAGGGGATGTTCCTGGTCCAGGAGATGCTCTTGGTCCAGGGTTGCTGTTGGTCCAGGAGATGCTCTTGGTCTAAGGATGCTGTCAGCCCAAGGATGCTGTGGATCCAGAGGATGCTCCCGGTCCAGGGAGGGAAGGCAGGGACAGATGCGGAGCAAGGCAGCAGTGCTGCTGGAAAGGTCGGCCACTGTCACACAACTCATAGGGAGGGGACGGTGCCCAGGGCCAGGCTGGGAGCACAGGGAGCTGGCTGTCTGCAGGGCGCTGCGTGGGGTGCCAGGGGGAGGGTGAGCATCTCCAGGCTGCCCCTGGGCATCACCTCCTGCCTGCCCCATGGTGGGAATCTCAGGGGGAAGGAGGAATTTGTGGGTGCTGAGCTGGAGCTGGAGCCGAGCAGGGGAGCTGGAAGGCAGGGTTTGTGTCAAAGGGGAGATGAAAACCCTCCCCTGTTTCTGTTTCGGAACAGGATCGAGATCCTCAGGAGGACACCATGAAGGCACTGCCCTTGGCAAGATCATGGTCGTGGGTGACACCACCCAGGGCCGGGGTGTGACCGAGGGACAGCGAAATCCCCCTCATCCCAGCGCCGAGGCTGGAACCCTGGGTGAGAAATCCCTCCTGAATCTGGGTGAGAAATTCCTCCTTCCCAGGCCCATCTCCCACCTCCAGTGCCGGTGTTCGGTACCTGCTGGAATTCCCTGCCACCCCCTACTCTCACACCTTCTGCCAGGGGCTTATTTCAGATTTTTTGAAGCCCCTACAGTGCAAATCGCTTCCTTTTGCGTGGAAAGGTCTCGGGAGGTGGAAGTGGTGGGGTAAGGGCAGATCTTCAGCTCGCTCTTCTTCTGAGGGCGCAGGATCCCCCCGGGACTGACATCCCTTCCCTCTCGCTGTCACCAGCCTCCGGGAACGGGCAGTTTCTCACGGTGCATTTAGATTGTGCTGGGTTTTTTATTGCATATCAGGGAATTTGGATAACGCCACCGGCTCACTCCCTGTTACTTTATCAGCTCTGCTGCCGCCTCCTCTTCCTCCTCCTCCTCCTCCTCCTCCTCCCACCTCCCCATTCCCGAGCTGGGGCACCTGTGGGAAGGTGGGAGCTGAGATGTTCCCAGGAAGGAGCGCGGTGGAATTCCCACCCCTCTCCCCAAACACGTGGGGGATGCTCTGGGGGGAAACCCACACAAGGAGATGCCTCCCCTGCCCCTGCCAGGAATGGGCACTTTGGGCTGGGAATTAGCAAACAGGACTGTATCTTCAGCAAAGCCTTTGATACAGTCTCCCACAGTATCCTCCTGGAGAAACTGTCTGCCCATGGCTTGGATGGGAATACCCTCTGCTGGGTTAAAAACTGGCTGGAGGGACGGACCCAGAGAGTGGTGGTGAATGGAGCTAAATCCAGCTGGCGTCCAGTCACGAGTGGTGTCCCACAGGGCTCAGTACTGGGGCCACTTCTCTTTAACATCTTTATCAATGATCTGGACGAGGGGATCGAGTGCACCCTCAGTAAGTTCGCAGACGACACCAAGCTGGGTGGCAGTGTTGATCTGCTGGAGGGTAGAGAGGCTCTGCAGAGAGATCTCGACAGGCTGGATCGATGGGCCGAGACCAACGGGATGAGGTTTAACAAGGCCAAGTGCCGGGTCCTGCACTTCGGTCACAACAACCCCAAGCAGCGCTACAGGCTGGGGGCAGAGTGGCTGGAGAGCTGCCTGGCAGAAAAGGACCTGGGGGTGTTGGTCGACTGTCGGCTGAACATGAGCCAGCAGTGTGCCCAGGTGGCCAAGAAGGCCAACAGCATCCTGGCCTGTATCAAGAACAGTGTGGCGAGTAGAGCCCGAGAGGTGATCGTCCCCCTGTACTCGGCACTGGTGAGGCCCCACCTCGAGTACTGTGTCCAATTTTGGGCCCCCTACCACAAGAGGGACATTGAGGTGCTGGAGCGGGTCCAGAGAAGGGCAACGAAGCTGGTGAGGGGTCTGGAGCACAAGTCTTACGAGGAGAGGCTGAGGGAACTGGGGTTGTTCAGTCTGGGGAAGAGGAGACTGAGGGGAGACCTTATCGCTCTGTACAAGTACCTGAAAGGAGGCTGTAGAGAGACGGGGGTCGGTCTCTTCTCCCAAGTTACAGATGATAGGACAAGGGGTAACGGCTTCAAGTTGCGCCAGGGGAAGTTCAGGTTGGATATTAGGAAACATTTCTTTACTGAAAGGGTTATCCAGCATTGGAATGGGCTGCCCAGGGAGGTGGTGGAGTCACCATCCCTGGAGGTATTTAAGAAACGTGTAGACATGGTTCTTCAGGGCATGCTCTAGTGCCCAAGA